GGGGAAATTGGAAGTAAGGGCCTAGCTCAAGGGCCCAGCAGTGACATGATTATTATACTGAGCCCAGGATCTGAACCGGCAACCTTCTGAGCACAGGCACAAAGACCTAACACGGGGAGCCACACACCACTCCCTATGTAATAGTGATATTTAATTGACTGAAGGTGGCGTTTAATACTGATCTGTAATTTATCATTCACTGAATTATATACACAGTAGGGCAGCTACATTGCTGGGGTGTAACAGTATAAAATGGCATAGCGCAAAATGCCTTAAGGTTATAGGCTATATATAAAATGTGCAGATCGTCTATTAAATTGCTAGCAGGACTTGTGTGGAAACGGGCAGATCTGGTATAAGACTAGGAATCCCTCCCTGGTCCAGGTAACTAAAGTAACGCCTATTTCTACTCATTACAGTTTGGATGATATCCATAATATAATAAAATGGAATTTCTAAATAACCAGAAGAGAGTTTAATTCCTGCCTCACCACTACCAATAATTCGTCGGGTCTGTGGATGAGGAATAACGCGCTATACGAGTGATTTCGTCGATCGACAAGTGAGGTTACTTTGTTTTGAGGAAAAATTCAATATTTGTCCATTCATTCAATTTATTAAACGTTCATTCTGGGCTGTCCCGGAAAAAAACAGGAAGAAAAGCGCACAACCCACACGTAAAACATTAAATTAATTCACCGGTTCACATGAACAACACATCGATGGGCTGTAGGAGGGTGAGAAATTGCAATAAACCTAGATTTTAAATGTGAGACAAGTAACCTGCAGTAAACTAGGTAGAGTATGAATCAATACATAGAAATGGTATACTCATTACAGTCAAGCGTATCTCATATTAGTCCTGTTCTCTTTCCAGGGAACCTTCTGCGCTTTAAGTCATGTGACAGCCGACTATTCTGCACATCTGAAGAAAGGCAGAGGGACGGAGATCTCGCATCAGAAGCGCGGAGGGGCAGATGCTGTTTGCTGATGCTCCTGAGCCTCGCTCGGCGCCTTTTCGCTTTGCGCCATAAAGGTCTCCGCCGCGGAAAAGTGCGCAGATTTCCGAAGGCTTCGCTCACCTGCCCCGGCGCTTGGGTGAACGCCCAGATCCTCCGGAGTTTTCCCACTAACTGCAAGGCTGAGGACTTCTTTTCTGCTTCATACTGGAGGTAAGAATAAGGTGCATGCACGATTACGCTTGAGAGCTTCTGCCCGTAAGCTTCTGCCCGTAAATATTGCCGTAACTCAGATAATCGTACGACCTTCTTACGCGGAGCTGTTTAAGTGGCACTGCAGCGTGTCCTTTCATAGTAACTGGTCCAAACCGAAAATAAACGAAACGTTTCCGTTCAGCAGCCTTTTGTTCGCTTTTGGTGGTTCTACATCCTAAAAACATGTCCTGACAGTGAATTGAAAACGTCAAGATCACCGACCCATGTGTTTCACGAACCAATATGCCGTACGATCATCGTATGAATTTCCACGACAGAACAATAATTGCTTGATGTCGAACTTTTGAACAGTTTTCTACCAAAAAGTCCTCCTATCTCCATTTGCCCCAGATGCAACGCGAATTTAATTGGAAAAAAAACTGGTTTCAGATTTAACTGCTTCGTACAGCTATAAAGAGGCGTATTATAATCATATATTGCCAGTGTGCGCTTGGGATTTCACGTAAATAAATATCGTTGGTTTAAATGAGAATTATTTATACACACAATGCAAAGCGCATCGCTGACTCGAACAAACTCCCATTTTACTAACCTGCTTCATGCACATCGACCCGGTTGAGGAATCATTGGTTTGCGTTGCTTTCATTATCTCCTCCATTATACACCATTATATCTGAGAAGCGTCGCATCTGTTTTAAAACTGGAAAGGCATGTTAGCCAATTTCTTTGCGATACAGCGCGCTACGATCGGCGTCTCATTTTTCAGTTTGCATATTTAATGTAATGAAAGCAATAAGACATTATTAAAATAATTGCTCTTTAAAAATACATACGTTTCATCAACGCTTCCATCTCGTAAATTTTTCATATCCTATATAACTTGTCGGTCTGTCTCGCACTGAGAGGATCTAATAGTTGATGATGTGGCAACATCATTGAAGGAGCAACGTAATTGCTCGTTATTTGAATTGAAAGTGATTTAAACGCATTGTATAAACTCGATGGTTAATGGAAATTAGTACTTCGGGCGGGTAAATAAAATATTGCTCCATATTAAAGTTTTTAAGGGGGGTCTTAAGATCTCATACGTGGAAATTACAGCCAGACGGAACAGGTGTACGAACAGATTCCTTGCGGATTTCCTCGATGTCATAACGTTTGATTTCCTCAGACTGTTTTTCACTGTAAAAATCGGTCCCTCCATCGTGCCCAGGGTCTTCAATCTCCAGTTTTCCCAGATTGGCGTTAATTTAATTGACGCTCACGGGATATTGCTGTGATCCTTTCCCGTGTCCGGAGGTAGAGCGCACATCGCCCCCTGTCGCGGTGTAAACTGATGTCCGCTTGGGCGAAAGACTAGGTGTATGATGGGATTTCTTTTCAAACCAGAGCCACTTTTAAGCAAAAAAATGAAGCAACAATCGAGTAAAAAGCCTCCTACCCTTACAATTACTTTTGTTAACGCAACAATAAATGAGTAATTTATATTTTTCATGATTAATTGCTGTAGATGTGGGGGCCTAAAACCCCTTAAAACAGGCCTAACGCCGTCCCTATTGTGTTCAACTATTGTGCCAGTTTTGGTTATATACATGTATGCATTTCGCTCTTTATTTGAGATTTTCTTCCAAACTGAAATTCTCTCACATTTGTGATTCAGTATGTGATTTGGTGACTCCAATCAGCCTCAGCATGTTTTTGGACTGTTGGGGTCAATAATTGGCATTCCATAAAACATTAAAAATTGGACACTGTGAGTGAGATTTGCCCTTCAGGTAAAGGGTACATATATGGTTTGGTGGTAATGCAGTGTAACACGTTTTGGTAATTTAACCAAATGGATTAATAGCCTCCTGATTCTTCCCGTGAAGGGGCCCCCTGATCCCCCTTGGGGCCCCCGTTTCCGTGGGCCCCAGTGCGACTGCACTGCCTAAAGTGCCGGCAGTGGTGCTAATCTTTACACTTCAGGAGGTCTTCAATAATCCAAGTGGGCTGTACTGTCATTTGTTCCTTCGGATTTTATTTCAGAGTTCACTCTCCCTGGTCTTTTATCTCAGTGGGATGGCGAGACGTGCTGGTGGCTGAGGTCTTCGTCGCTTGTTTAATATATTCAGTTGCTGAAAGTCTGTCTTTCTTGGATGGTGGGGGTGGGAGGGGTGTAATTCTCCTAGCTGCTCTGTGTTTTATCCATGCTCGGCTTGCCTGTGGGTGTCCATGAAGACACTGGTATATTAATAAATAGCTGAGAGATCGCCCAGCTCTCCTCTCCTCCTTTCTTGTCTACCATGTTTCTCTGAGCTTTGGATGGAGGGATGAGGGAATTGTGCAGCGTTGCTTTCCTCCCCACAGGCTATTATTTTGGCGGCCACAGGGCCTGTCCCTTTCCCATCCACCCATCCATCCATCCATCCAACAAACCATTGTCTACAACAAAATCACCAACTTTCTTGAATAAAATGAAGCTTCTGGTGGCTCAGGTTCCTGATATTAAAAAAGGCAGTTGACATTTTTGTCTATTTAATAATTCTTACAAAGCCAAAAATATCTCTCTGGAGCTGTTCCCAGACTGGAACACGCTCCAAGTGAAATGTTCGGTAGAGAACATGGAATGCAAAACGGAAAAAGTGCCCTGTGGAAAAGTCGAAACGGAGAACAGATACTAGAGGTCTGCGTTCGGGGCTGGGGAGATTATTTGGGGGTTCTCTGAATGCATAAAGATGGGCAAGTCAAGCAAACATAAATAAAAACAAAAGTAATTTTGCCATCTAACCCAAAAGGAAGAAGCTTAGGAGCCCCAGAGCCACAGCATCGATCCCTGCCTCTTCTTCCTTTTCACAAAACATGGATTTGCATCATATTCATAACCACAGATTGCATTTGATTAGAGGGACTCACCCACTGACCTTGTTCCCTCCCCAGAAAACACCCAGGACATCCGTACGTCCCACATGTGCGACCATTCTCGAAACGGTACGCTACTGCACTCCATCCAAAGCCAACAACAGAGAGTGATGCTGTCGACGGGAGAACGTGATGCTTCACCAGAGCTGATCTGTGTTTTACCCGCTGCTTCTTATAGTGAGATAATTATGCTCAGCATTTTTCGTTGATCCATTTTTATATACGGTGCAGGTCCACTGGTGTGTATCTCTCACCGTCTAGGTGATGATACCAAAGCCTTTTTTTCTGCAGGGGGGGCAGGGTACTCATTGTATTTTCTCTGTAGGGGTCTCACGGTTGATTAATTTAGCAGCGTATGTCAAGCTGAAATAAGGGCAGTGAAGACCACTAGGGTTGTTAAAGGCACAAGACAGGGACCCCCCCCAGTGATGTATGACCCTGGCAGCGTGATGGGGGCAGCACAGCCGCCGAGAGAAATGATGGTTAATGTGCAGCAGTGGGAATTCGTGATGACCGATGAGTCCCACCACGGTTAGAACTTTGTGTTGTTATTTTTGTGGGAGTGGAAAGCCTATCGATTGGGATGGCTGGTCAGTTCATAGGTAAAGACAGGCCACATGTGGCGGAGTTGAGTTTCCTGTCAGATACCTCCACACCCCCTATTAAAGGTGGTGCGCCCTCACAGACAAGCGGACTAATGACATGCGGTTGCCTTTGCAATGTTCCCCTGGGTTCCAAATTAGGCCAAGTTGGATCTATATAATGTCACCTGTCAGCCACTGGGTTAAACCCATGGGAATTAAACAGCATTGCACTTGTATTTTCCTGCGATGTTTGTGATGCTTAAAATCCAAGTTTTATTTTTGCCAGGGTATGTTAACATGGAAATTAACCACTCAGGCATTGTTCAAAAGATTGCATTTTAAATACATTCTAAACATCAAAATGTGAATTTAAGAAAATACTGGAAGGATATTTTGATTGAAGAAATTTTGTTGAAATATGATCTGCTTGCAACAGGGGGAGGAGTCGCATGGGCCTTTTTGCCAGGGGGGTGGAGTCACAGGGCCTTTTTGCCAGGGGGGTGGAGTCGCATGGGCCTTTTTGCCAGAGGGGGTGGAGTCGCATGGGCCTTTTTGCCAGAGGGGGTGGAGTCACATGGGCCTTTTTGCTAGAGGGGGTGGAGTCACATGGGCCTTTTTGCTAGAGGGGGTGGAGTCACATGGGCCTTTTTGCCAGGGGGGTGGAGTCGCATGGGCCTTTTTGCTAGAGGGGGTGGAGTCGCATGGGCCTTTTTGCCAGAGGGGGTGGAGTCACAGGGCCCATTTGGAAGAGGGGGTGTAATCACAGGTGCCTGATTAGCAGAGGGGGTGGAGTCACTGGGGCTTGTTTAGCTATGTGGGCAGAGTCACGGGATGTTTTTTTGCCAGAGGGGGTGGAGTCACAGGTCCTGATTGGCTGAGGGGTTGGAGTCACAGGTGCCTGATTGGCAGTGTGAGTGGGTGGTGGGGAGCAGAGTCTCATTGTGGTTGTGCTGCTCCAAGGAGTCAAGAGTCAGCCTGTCTTTGGTTACATTAGTTTTTTTGTAAGTACAAGACTGTAACCATTCTGGTTGTCATGAGGACAGTATTAACATGCACCTTGTGCAGCCTGTAATAGAAAAATAGCAGTAGTAATAAACACAATAATGCATAGTCATTATTATTGGTCTTGTTTTTGTAATAAGAGCATATTCATCGGTGGCAGTAAAGCAGGGATTTATTCAGAAGCAAAGTCGGCCACACCTGTAACACTGATGCATAATTAAAGGCACATTCTGATCCACGGTGATGTCATCACTGTAAGTTGGGTCACCTGGCACTGGTCCTGGAGGTGACCTCAGCATTGGGTGGGAGGAGGGGCAAGCCAAATTGGTTTGATCAGCAGGGAATAGTCAGTTGGTGCAGGAGTTTTAAGTGATTGGATGGAGAAGGCACTGCACTGCACTGCGAATGTGCTGTGGCTTCGGCCAGGGAGGTAATGTGTCATTTCCCAGTGTTGCGCTCTTTATGATTCGCACAGTAGGAAATGTCCGTCTGCATAGCAAATAGCTCGTA